AACTTTCATGGTCATACGAGGTGACTGAAAATACCAAGACTTGAGCCAAGCACACCATAATTCTCAAAGTAACATCCTTTAGAATAGCCTTCTGCTGCTTGGCCCCATGGAAGGTGTCATTAGATTTCTTGCCTGCTGTTTCCATGAGCAGCGCTGGTAGACCCAAGGAAGATGAAATCTTTAATAACTTTAACCTTTTCTCTGTGCAACATGATAGTCTGCCCATTGAGCTGCAATCCATACTGAAGGCTGCGGTCCTTGACCTTTGTCGGCAAGTGCCTGAAGCGCTCCTCACCTTCAGCAGGCAGTGGTGTCATCTGCATATCCCATGTTGTTAGAAAGCCTTCCTCCAATCGTAATACACCATTCTTCTTCATGTAGTCCAGCTTCTCCAATTATTTTCTCAACCTACAGATTGAATGATTATCATGTGAGTACACAGCCCTGGCACACCCCCTTCCTCCTTTTCACCATGCAGTATCCCCTGGATCTGTTCACACAGCTCCCTCTTGATTTATGTGCAGGTTCTGAATGAGCACAATGTAGTGTTCTGGAATTCCCATTTTTCTCAAGGCCATCCATAGTTTATTACCACACATGCAGTAAAATGTCTTTGGATAGTCAATAAAACACAAGTAAACTTCTTTCTGGTCTCCTCTGCTTTCAACAAAGATCCATCTGACAGCAGCAATGATAGCCTTTGTTTTATGAAGAAGTCAGCCTGAATTTCAGGCAGCTCCCTCTCAATGTACTACTAAACCATTGTTGGGTAATCCTAGCAAAATGTTACCTGCATATAATATTAACGATACTGTAATTTTAGCAGTTTGTTGGGTAATCTTCCTTTGGAGAGGGTATAAATAGAAATCTCTTCCATTCATTTGGCAAGTAGCTATCTTCCAAATCTCCTGGCATAGACCAGTGAGTCCTTCTAGGGTTTCATCAGCTTGCTGAAACAGTCCAGTTGGTATTACAATTGGACCTTGTCTTTTGCTAATGCCTTCAGTGCAGCTTAGAGTTTTCCTTTCAATGCCATTAATACTTGGTTATATGCTACCTCTTGTAATGGCTGAATGTCAGCCAGTTAATTGTGGCATAATGATTATGTTGTCTTTCCATCTCCTATTGATGCTTCCTGTATTGCGCAATATTTGGCCCATTGAAATCTCTCAAAATTGTAATTTGAAGCTTGATTTTTTTCCTTCGTTCTTTCAGTAAAAATATACTCTGCATATTTGGATTTTCTTACTCTAGGTCTTTGCACATGTCGTTATAATATTTTACTTTGTCTTCTAGAGATATCTTTTTCTATCTATTTTCATGTCATGGCATGAAATTACGAAGCACTGAAAGTCTAGAAAGTTTTGTCCTCTGTTGTTGTACTTTCAAGTCTATGTTTTAAAAATCTCTATCTGGGAATTCAGCAAGGACTGAAAGGTCACTACACTTTACAAAGCTGTACTCTAGCTTATTAGTAAACATATGAAGCACATATAAGTCATTTTAGGTCTAATAAAGAAATAAGATGGAATGTTGTACAAGAATGTACTTGAATGTTTACTCAAGAGTTGTTATATGTAATTTTTTTTGTTTTTATTGAGTGGCATTTTTTAAGTTTCCCAAAGAGCATTTATAACTCCTTAGCTACAGTAAATAACAAAATAATATTTATTGGGCATTCAGTATATTTCAGGTACTTTATTAGTACTTACATAAATCATCATACGAATGAAGTAAAACACATTTCTATTGCTGGATAATACTTATGAACCTAATTATAAAATTTAACATGAAAAATATATTGAATGTCTAAAAATATAAAAT